GGGCTCCCCCCCCCCCCCCCAGCCACACCACTCCTTCCTTTTTAATTTTTTGGGTTTTTTTCCCCCCTCCCTCTCCAAAGCATGTCCAACTCCCACGGGATCATCCATTTCACTGCAAGTTCCAGTTTGGCAGATGCCCAACTCATTTACCCAGTAAGGATTTTGGTCTCCAGGGCAACTAACCCAACACCTTCCCATCACCGCTGCCTCGCTTCAGCATGAAACACCTCTCGGTTACAGCACCGTATCACTGCGATGCCTGCCAGGAGAGGGGCCTCGCCTCACGCCGAGGGTCAGCGAGCAGCTGGTTGCCCTGGGGAAGGGCAGAAGGGGTTTTGGTGCCCTTCTCCATCAGCTCACAGAGGGAGGGAACTCTTGCAAGTCACCTTCCTCCCCCCACAAGCCCAAAGCCCAGCTGCCTCATCCTCTCCCAGTCCCTAAGAAGAGATGGGAGACGGATGGGTCACCATCTGAGAGCAGGTGGGGATTACTTACAACCAAAACTCAACACCAGCAGAGTATTGCCCGAGCCCCAACAGCTGATGCATCCACTCGGACAACCGCTCCCCCCTTTTCCACTGCCTGCCCTTCCATCTCTCGCACAGCCCCCAGCCCCCTTGCGAGGCAGCTCCTCAGGGCTGCATTACAGGGAACATACCATCCACGGGCTGCTGGAAATTTATGTAGGCATAGCCCAGCGATCGGCGTGTAGCAACATCCCGACAGACTCGGATGGACATGATGGGCCCAGCAGGTGAGAACTTCTCGTAGAGCATGGCTTCGGTCACGTCTGGGTGGAGGTCTCCCACGTAGAGAGAGGCTAACGGATAGCCAGGGCCGCTAGCGTTCATGGTCAGCCACAAAGCTCAGCTGCGGAGGAAGACAGACCTGAGGCTGCAGGGCACAGGTTTCCAATCGCATGCAACAACCACAGACCCAAGCTGGGGCTGGTCCCACCGCAGCAGCGGGAGCTGTGCCCTTCCCACCAGCAGTGCTAGGACTGGGAACACCCCAAGGATACTGCAGTTCCCAAATTTTCCAGGGACATTCAATATTGGTGCAAAAGCCGAGCTGGGGTGTTCTGCACATCACAGCCCTCTCACGCCCAGGCAGCAGCCAGAGGGACACACCACACCACACCCCCGTTTGCTCCTTTCGACACTCAAAACCCAAGAGAAATAAAACAGAGTTTAACTCCTCAGGACTGGCTGCTCAGGCAGAGCAAACCCAAGGAGCACAGGTTTGCTTTGATGCACGGCGCTGCCCTGCCAGGGGAGCAGCCCTGCAGCCCACACCGCTGCAGCCAGCGTTCCCAGCAACCGTCTCCACCTCTAACAAGGCAAACCCAGTTTTTAGGTCAGCCCTTCCCAATTTCTCAGCTTGCTGACGAGGCCCTGAAAGCAGGAAAATTGATGCTCGGTCTCTCACTGGTTTTAGTTAGGTATAAAGTTGTGTGTGAAGATGACAGTCACTGCTTGAGACCCCCAGGGAACTGCCTGGGAAAACAGAAATGCAACTCCTGCCCTAAAAGCTTATAAGCCCACCTTTGGGGCTCTTGCCTTCAAGCTCAAAAGATCCGAGACAGTTGTTAAGATACGCTATGGATGCCCAAACTAAACGCACACACTTAGGAGAGGCACATTAAGCAATCCCCCAGCCAAAGGGCAGGAGATGGAAGAGCCAGCACCAGCTCCGTGAGACAGCCCTCCCCCGCAGGCCACCCGAGATTCGCCTCCCAGAGCCCTCCCGGCAACGCTGACAGCAAAAGCAGCAGAGGCGGACGGAGCGAGGCCAGCATCCCCCCGCAGCCGGCGGGGGCTCAGAGAGGAGAGGAGGGACCCGG